AATGAGGTTTGCCTCTGCAGAGTCAGGGACCAAAGCCAGCTATGAATTATTCCTCCCTTGCATACACCCACTGCTTAGCTAGGCTGGGTACTCACAGGGCCCCCACCCCATCCCTGCTTAAGAAACTCTCCCCTCACTCCGGTTCTCATCCAAGCCCTCCATATCCTTTAAGGCCTGGCTTGAAAGCCCTACTCCTCCAGGAAGTCTTCCGTGATCACCACCATCACACACACACTCTGTTCCAGGCTGGATTCGTCCTTCGAGCCCCCAAACTCCTCATTTTCACTCATTTGGCTTTTAATTATGTATGCCTTTTTTACATTTCCTGCATGGACTCTGCTGTGGGTTGATTGAATTGGTTCCCGAAGTTCATATATTAGGAGCTTGATTCCCACCGTAACCCTTGAGGGTGGTAAATCCTACTGTGGCAACTGAAACGTGGGGCCTTGGAGAGGTGATTAGATTGTAGGATCACGCCGTAGTGAATGGATTAATAATGGTGGTCAGGGGCGTGGTTCTGAGGGCTTTAAAAGAGCACATGAGAGGTTAGTCTCTCTCTGCTCCACTATTTTCTCCCATGTGAGACCCCTACGTTGCTGTCAAGCCACCATCAAAGAAGGCCCTCACCATAAGTGTTCACTGGACTTCAGACTTCCCAGCCTCTGAAACTGTGAGAAAAAATTTGGTTTTCTTTATAAAATACCCAGTTCTGTACATTTTGTTATAAGCAACAGAAACAAACTAATACAGAATCATAGACTATTTAAGATCTACAGGCATCCTTACTGATCAATTCCCTCATTGCAAGGGTGAGAAATCACACCATCTTTACCAATGATTTAACTCTTGCTCGGGTAGTTAGGCTGACTTTCTCAAATCGTATGNCATCTTTACCAATGATTTAACTCTTGCTCGGGTAGTTAGGCTGACTTTCTCAAATCGTATGAAAAAGCTGGTAGATACTTTTAAGCCACCCTTTAGCATGTGTGCCCTGTCTTCCCAGCTAGTCCTCAAGAGCAAGGACTGGGTCGCACACGGGGGAGCATTCACACACAGGTGAGTGAGTAAGTGCAGGAATGAGCCCACACCCTGCTGACAGGTGACCTGGCTTCCAGCCTCAGACTGAACTTGGCAGCCCCTCCCTGCTCCCCTAAGCAGCGCCATGCTCCCTGCATCTGCTGCCCACTGGGTAGGGTGCGTGGGTATGAGGCTACAGAGGCAGTGCAGGGACACTGACCCAGGAGCCCCTGGGAAAGTGCCAGGCACCTTGGCTGGAGCTTGGGGGTCAGCACCGTCCTGAGGGGCCAGGGCTGGGTCTCCAGGCTGGGGTTCAGCTGCAGTGGCCGAGCCCTGGGGGGCCTCGTGGCAGGGCTCCTTCCTCTCCTCTGACTTGATGGTGCAGTTCACCATGGTGCCAACGCCATCCAGGGCCAGCTGGGCAGAGATGGGGCTCCTCATGGACATCCTGAGAGAGGAGGGACAGAGTGAGCTGAGGGGAGGCCCGAAGACTGATCTATAAACTCCTGCCCTCTGAGCCCGAGGCAGGGACTCCACCACCAGCTCCCCCAGCCCCAGCGCCCCCGGCACCCTGCACAAAGGTACAAACACAAAATGGTAGCCTACTTTTGGAACCCACAGAAAAATTAGAAAAGGTTCTTCTGTNCGTTGGGACTAGTGGGCTGATGGACCTAAGGAAGCAGTGATTGTCAACTGGCTGTCTGTAAGCCGACTACAGCTGAAGATTTCATATACATTCTATATGTATATATGTTAAAAATTACAGGAGGACATTCTTTTGGGCTAAGCTCCTGCACTAGGCCCCAACAGACCAGACTAAAAATCAAAATGTGGTCATCCATGCTGAAGTCTCAAATCACCAAACTAAATCTGTTATCTGACCTAGAAACCAGGAGAGAGCGATAACTAATTTCCCAAATAGGCCAGTTTCAGTCACCAACAGCATAATATGAAGTCCCTTCTGCTTTAATCCTTACACAAAAAAGGTGGCTTGAAGTAACCTGTTAACTGGTCACTTGTTTTTCTATTGTTCGGTCTCCTCGTCCCTGCCTTAGAANGAGACTGTGCATCCGCTGCTCCTCTCCTGTCTCACCACTGCCTGGGACATCTTGAGGAGCTGGGCAATCAACCGCAGGACCCTGGGGAGCAGTCTCCAGGGGTCATGCCAGGCTCGCAGCCAGAGCTGCAGATGCCCACCCTCCAAAGTCAATGGGACAAGCAACCAGGGATGGCCCTGGGCTCCAGTGAGAACACACAGCAAGTTCCCACTTTGAATGGGTCCTGGGCCGCTAGCTGAGTGACCTCGGCAAGCTGTTGAGCCTCTCTACACCTCAGTGTCCTCATCAGTTAAATGAGTGTGATGAGACTCTACATTATCTTACAGGGCAGTAGTAGGGACTAGGAATTGATATTTCCGCAGCGTTGGTAACAGTTGGTGGCGCTGCTCGTTGGAGTGTAGTATAAGAGCCACCAGCCTCAGCACAGCTTGGGGCTTGNGTGGCGCTGCTCGTTGGAGTGTAGTATAAGAGCCACCAGCCTCAGCACAGCTTGGGGCTTGAGAGGCAGTCATGGGTCCCATCCACAAATCAGAATCTCTGGGGCTGGGGCCGTGGATCTCTTAAGGAGCTCTGCAGGTGATTCTGACACACACTAAAGTATTGTTAAATAAAATTCTTCAAAACTTTTTTTTTACATGGGGATTAAATTTTTAGGGAAATAAATAGCAAAAATCAGGTATAGCAAAATATCCCTTAAATTAAATTGCAGGTGCAGTATACTATTTGTCTATGGCATCTAGTCTAAAATATTTCTTAAAATGCATAATGAATCATGCAATGTTATAGTGCCATATGCAATAGAGTACACATATGGTATTTTACATAAAGTAACTCAAAGAGCATTATAATTGAATAAGATATAAATATATGTATTTGATTTGATTCCATCCTACAGATCAGGCCAGACTAGACTCTCCTGCTCACCCACTTTCAAAGTGCAGGGTGACCTGGAGGCTGGCTCAAGACTCAGGACAGGGCACTGCAGGGTTTGGAGGAGGGTACTACCTGACCCTCAGAGTTCATTGGCTTCATCCCCACATAGATGAAGAGAAAAGAAGAGACCCCAGCCCGGCTGGCCCTGGGGTCCCCTGCCACCGCCCAGGGGCCTGGAGAGCGTGCAGGAAGCAGGCGGCTCAGCCCATCCGGGCACCGGGGGCCACCCCGAAAGGGGGGAGCAGTGGGGGGGGGCGCAGCCGGGGAGGGGGTATTATCCTGAAGCTGAGGGCAGCAATTACATAACAAACAAACCCCGGGCTCAAGCTGTGAATTAATCAAACCGCTGAAAATAAAACCTTCCTCTCAGGAACTTCAGACAAAAGAAATGAAAACAACCAGGCTGGCTGGAAAATAAAAGGCTGCAGCCCTGAAAGGGGGACAAAAGGAAACCAGACAATAGGGTGTTGGACAAAAGCAATAAAGCCAAAGGAAGTGTGACAGGCGCACAATGCTGGCCTGTGGGCTTCTGATCCTGGCCGGCTCCGCGCCACCTCGTCCCACACCCACCGTGGCCGCGGGCCGGCGGGCCCC